CTCTCCTTAACTTCATCTTTAACAGTTGCACAACCCCCTGCTGTCTTTGTTTCCTGAGGTAGCTCTAGCAAGATATGTACTAGGTAGCTTCAACAGATGTGTATTGTCTAACGGTTCTGAAGATCAAAAGTCCGAGGTCAAAGGGTAGATAGGATTGGCTCCTTGTGAGGCTGGAAGAGAAACCTGCTGCCGGCCTCTCCCTGGCTTCTGGAGATTACTGGTGGCCCTTGGTGTCACCTGCCATTTGCTTCGGCACATGGTATTCTCTCCCTGTGTACTGGTGAGACAGCTTTTCCCTGATGTGACAGAATACCAGATGGAATCATATTAAGAAGGAAGGCTCTATCATGATCCCTGGTTTTAGGGGTCTCAGTCCATATCACATAGTTCCATTGCTTTCCTGTCTATGGTAAGGCAAGAGCATTGTGGCAGAAGGACATGGTGGAAGACAGTTGCTTATCTCATGGCAGCTGCAAGCAGGGACCAGGGCCAAAGTGCCACTAGGCCACACCCACGGTGACCTTAAGCTAGGCCTCCACTCGTAGTTTGCACGCAGTCCCTGCTAAAGTCATCCCACCATGAATCCATCAATGCACTCATCCAACTAAAAGACCAAAGCTCTCACAGTCTAGGCCCTCCAAAGCCCACCTTTGCACACTGCTGCTGTACAGGAGTTCAGGGGGACATTTCAGAGGGAAGCCACTATAGTGAGTATCACTGGGTCCAGACCTTTGCCTTTCATAAGGCACAATTGTACTGGATTCGGACCCATCAACTCACCCAGCTCCATCTGCAGAATGACCCTGTTTGCAAACCATTTCCCATTCTGAGGCCCCAGAGGTCTGAACTTCAGCATAAGAATTTGGGAGGGGGCAAAGTTCAGTCCTAACCATCTATCTAGATCAGCCAAAATGTACTGAGCCTCTTCACACTGGTACCAGGGTGGTTTCTGCTGCTCAACAAGTCACATCACAATGATCCATGCTTCTGGTTACCCCAGTAGAAGCCATTCCATAGGGTTAAGTGGGTGTGTCTAACAGGACCCACCTGGGTCTGGGTTCTCGTTCACCCAGCTCTTCAGGTGCCACCAAGACAAGGCCCCTTCATATGCTTGCTCATGTTTGCCAGCCTGGGCTTCTAGATAGATCCTTCTATCATGCCTCGCTTCTATTTTCCTTCTCCTTCCTGCCAAGAAGGTTAATAGCAAAATAGAAGCCCTTGATGAGAGTGTCTGTGCAGGGCATGTTCTCTTGCAGACATAGAGACAAATAGAAATTTCAGAAATATAGGGGGCCTTTGGTCTGCAGACATTAAATCCATCAGTGAAATATCAGTCCTGGGGCAGTGTGCCAGCACCAGGAGAAAGCCTTTTCTGATTTAGTTGAGGCAGAAAAAGCCCGTGTCAGAACAGCGCAGCTAGAGAACAAGCTGCAAGGCACTCATGAGCCCCGGGTTCAGAAGAGCTGTTTCACATAGGAGGTTTTCAGGCTGTGTTCTAGGAGCTAGGAAGACACAGCTTCATCAAGGAGCACCTCAGAGATGGAGGCCTGAAGAAGCCTGTCAGAGAACCAGAGGGCTGTCCAAGGAAAGCAAAGGCCAGGTGGATGCTTGAGTCCTCGGTCTAGGAGTCAGTGTTGGCCACACTTAGCACGGGGGCTCAATGAAGAGACTGGGAGAGGATGCAGGGAAGGATAAAGTTAGCCCTTAGGCAGGGCAAACACCAACCTCAAGTGTAGTGCTGCAGTGGCAGCCTCAGGCTGGCCATCTAGGACAAATCCCTTGAACAGATAAAAACCCAAGAAAAAGGAATACTGGTAACCAGCCACGCTGCCAATCCAGGGCCAGGAGGGGTCTTCCTCTCCTGCCATCTGTTGCCCAGGAAAGGCACCGCCTTGTTCTACGGAAAGATGTTAGGTCTGTGTTCTCACAGTTGCATCTTCAGGAGGAGTGATCCAAACATGGCCTAGATGATCCTAATGGCTGACCTGGGTCCCTGACATCTGCCAGCTCCTTCCCAATTGTCTAGTAGCTGAGCAAAGGACATTTGGTGGCTCTGGGTTCCTTTATCTCAACCCAAACACTTGTTTGTTTTCATGTAACATCCTGACATGACTTTTACCTGGACAGGGCTGGGAATCTATAGTGGTCCCAAATGATGGAGCACCCGTCACCATGACACCTCCAAGGCCAGCTGGCCTGGTAATGGCATCATCTTTCCTGTGGCTTCCTTCTGCCACTGCTTCTTGTGGGGAAGGGGGAAATGCCCAGCCTGTCCATATTTGGGGCACTAATCACCAATGTTCAGGCACCAGAGGTCAGGAAGAAGTTGAGATAATTCCAGGAATCTAAGGCTCTAAAAATGTGGGGCTGACTGGAAAGGATTTCTAGAGAGGGGAATGAGAGAGAGAGAGACAGAGAGAGAGACAGAGAGAGAGAGAGAACCCCAATCTCCACTCAACCTCGTTCCCAGCCCCGGGCACTGACCACTGCATCTTGGATTCTTGGGAAGAAATGAAGTCAGTGCACATAGCTCTGCAGGTCCCGGTTAATAATGAATGCGGAGGAAGGAGAGAGGATGTTCAATATTTAAACAGTGCAGAGCTCTAGCTGCCTTGCCAGTTACTGCCCTCCGCCTGCTTCCTGGATGGCTTCTGTAAAACTGAGCACTAGCCCAACTCCACTGCTGGCCTCAGCCACCAGCTTACATGAGTAGGGAACAGTAGCTTCGGGGTACTCCAGCCAGCAAGATTTCTGTTGCTTTTTGTGAAAGATGGGATGAGATCTGTGGTGTTGGCTGTGCACATCCCTCATATCATCCTCTTGGTGCTGCCTGTGTCTCGTTTGTGTTGGAATTTGGTGGCCTGACTGAGGAGGACAGCTTTACAGGGTAAAGTGGACTTGGTTTAAGAGCCATCTCTTCAAATCCACAAACTGGATATCTGCCTTCAAAGTTGCATGTAATGCAAAATTCTGTGAATCAATTCCTCTTTTCTTCTTGACACATGTTATATCAAAGGCAAAAGCATCCTTTTGGGGGGAGGAGAAAAGAAAACATTTGGTCCGAGACATAATAAAATCATGCTTAAGGATGCAACAAACTTGAAGTCTCTTAGTTAAAGGAAATCAATACTTTTATGATGAAATATTAATCATCCTTTAAAAAATAAGTCAAAACTAGAGATGCACAAGAGCCAGAGTGATTTTAATGCCTCAGGCATTAGCTTGGCATTTGCAAGGAAGCACAGCAAGTAGGGCCGCTGGAGCCTCTCTGAGGAGCCCTCCCAGGCCTCACGGGGGGGCCACTTGTGGATTTTCATTCAGAAGCACACATATCTCTCTCTGATATGCCAAAGTTACTTCCAAACAGTTCCAAACTGCTGATTTGGGGAAATGAGAAATGGGAAAGAGAGGGGCTTGCAGAGGTGTACACACGTGCGTGTGCTGACCGCAGGGGCGAGGAGAGGAGAGAATTAGAGAAAGCTACTTGTTTGCATGCCCGCCACCTGTCCCTCCCTCCTTTGGACCAACATTAATTATTCTAATAGTCCTTTCTGTAGGTGTTGAACCATGTTTGACTGTTCGAAACCAGGTCAAACTGGTTGAATTTTGAGTTTCATATATTTAAGCCTATTATAGACATCTCTGTCAGATATACAGAACAGTCCTGGGTGTATTGAAAGCATTGAATTTGACATTTACACATCAGGTTCCAGATAACAAGAAGTCCATGTTCTCACTGGTGGCTTTGATATAAAAATCTTAAGTCACACTGGGCGTGGTAGTGCACTCCTGTAATCCCAGCACTTGGGAAGCAGAGGCAGCCTCCTGTGAGTTTGGAGCTACCCTGTCTTTAAAAAAAAGAACAAGTCCACTAGCCTTAGACAGTTAAAGGTACCGTAGGAGAGCTGCCAGGTCTCACGTTATTGACTAAAGCCTTCAGTCACATGGTGACAAAGCAAGGCTTCAGTCTTGAGTGGCCTTGCCTTGTCAAAAGATCTAAATCATTTCTCCTGCCACACACCCCTGCATCTGAGTCGCTAGCGAAGTCTTGCCTCGCTGAAACCAAGTTCCAGTTCAGCAGTCAAAATGCAAGCTCCTGGACACTTAGCCTACACTGCTCTCCCCCTCATCAGTTCTGGGGGGTGGAACAGCTTTATACAAAGAAAAAACACGGGCTCTCATGTGTTCTCAGGGCAAGCAAGTCCTCTGGGGTCAGATCGCCCAGGAGCAGCCCAAGCCCTAGGAACTCTCCTCTTCCCTTGGGTCCTGGTTCTGTGTACCCAGATTTCTGCTTTTCTCAGGACTTCTCCCTTACAGATGACAGAAACTGACCATCTGGTTAGTCAAGTCTCATGGGGCTGCAGGAACAGAAGCTGATAGAAGAATCCTGTCCATTGAGCTTCTGAAGCATGTTCTAGGATGGTGCCCATCTTGGTCTTTGTGTGACTCAGCACACTCCCTGATCCCATCTAACACCCACCATGCAGATAGCATCTTTGGTTCTTTCAGTAGTAAAGTGTAAGGCAGCATGGCCCTCTGTCAGTCTGGCCTGACCCGAGTCGGTTAACACACACAGGAGGAAGAGCTCTGGTGAGATGGTACTGCTAGAACCAAGCACCCTGCCCTGTCAGTCCAGATGGGAAAGGGACCCCAGGCACGTGGCTGGCTGCCCTAGGGAGTGTTAAGTACGTGGCCAACCCCACACACCTTTTGCAGAAGTTCACAATGAATTCCCCACCCCTTGTATACCACCACCTTGTGGAATTCTCGGGGCTGAGGCATCCTATTATGAGACCTACCCAATAAGGCTGCTCTGCTTCTGGCCTGAGAGGATAGGGCAGAGCTGATAAGAGACTTCTTAGCAAACCTGGCACTCCTGGCCATCACAGGCTCCAGGGACATCCTTGTCAGGGAGGCCGTTAGCCAGTCCCCCTGCTCTGTGTCCCCTTTGCCCAGACATGCCCCCTAGCTGTCTAACAGCCCCTCTCCTGCTCTTTCAGCCTTGTCCACTGCCTCAGAACACAGGCAGCCAAGATGGCCGCTGGTGAGCTTTCTATTGCCTTGGCTGAGAGACTGTTGTGGAGCTCTGTGCTCTCTCATGTATACACGGTAATGCCATCAGAAGTGGGCAGGGGCTGGGAGAGGCAAATGCCCAGGCATCCTAGGGAGAAAGCCCATGCTCTGGTGCCCCCCAGTTTGAATAATCCAAAGGCAGAATAATCCAGAGTGCCTCTCGAGAACCAGTTGCCCAGGTCTATATGGCAGCCAACCATCCATGACAGGTGCTCCTGTCCAAGGCAGGGAGGACTACCTGACATCCATACAGGTCAGGTCCTCCAGCAGTAAAAGGGACAGCTGGCCCTCAGGTATCTCCATGGGTGGTAGCCCACACAGCCAGGCCCTCACCTGACCACAGGGTTGAGCAAGAACAAAATGGCACAGGGAGAAAGCAGGATACTGAAAACCTTTTCTCTTTCCTGCAGGTTTTCACGTATACCCCCTAAAATCCAAGAGGATTTGTCCATGGATAAAGAGCTATAGGCTATCAGATTCTACAAGTTCCCAGATATTTTTGTATGTTATCCCTTTAAAAACAACCAGAAATAAAAGTCTTTAAGCGTTTGGAGGCATAGCCAGTCATCACGTCGCCTGCCACAAGGGTCTCAAAGCAGAGAATGGCAGCTGCTAAGGAGTGTCCCCTTCCCCTGGTTTACATGTCTGCCCCTCCATCCCTGATGCAGGCAGAAAGTGGCCTTTACAGTAATGGTACTTGAGTGTGAAGACCTTAGGATGATCCAGAGTTCACAGCTAGGAAATACTGCATCTTTAGTCCCACTAAAGAGAGGCAGGAAGTGACGGCAAGGGGTACAACTGCCTGGGACCTGGGCCACAGGGTGCCCACATGTCAGTAGACCTACATTTCTGTGTGGGTTTCTGTGGAGCTCTAGCCCAGCACCTAGGTCTCAAGCTGGTCCCTTGCTTGTTTATTATTGTTTGTATATGTGTGGAAGGAAGAGTGAGTGCCACATGTGTGTGTGCCCACAGAAGCCAAAAATGCTGGATCCCCTAGGGCTGGAGATATAAAGAAGTAGCTGTGGTTCTTTAGACCTAGGTGCTAGGAGCCAAACTTAGTCCTCTGGAAGAACATTACCCACTCTTAACCACTGAGCTGTCTGTCTGTCTGTCTGACCCCGTTGTTGTTTTTGTTTTCTCCTTTGTCTGACAGCAGATAGTATATGTATACATGCGTATGAGGGTGCATGCTAAGAGACCAGAGTGGTGTCCTGCTGAATCACTCTCCACCTTATTTCCTTGAAACAGGCTGTCTCTCTGAGACTGGAGCGAGGTTGTCACCAGCAAGTGATCCTCCTGTCTCTGACCTCCACAGCACTGGGGGTACAGGTACACATGCAGTATACCCCGCTTTTTATGTGGGTGCTGGGAACTTAAACTCAGGTCCTTGTGCTGTGATGCTTTGCGGCAAACATTCTTACCTGTGAGCTCTCTCTAGCCTCCCTTATGGGCTTTTTAAAATATGTTTGAGTGTTTGCCTGAATGTGTGTCTGTCTGTGTCTGGTGCCCAAGAATACCAAAAGAGAGTGTCAAATCCCCTAGAACTTGAGTTACATGTTTGTGAGTCACCATGTGAGTGCTGGAAATTAACCCTCTGTCTTTTGGGAGAGCAGCCAGCTCTTTAACCGTCCAGCGTCTCTCCAGCACCACTTATGGGCTTTTTAACACCCTCATCTTACCCAAGGATGCACTCCAAAGACATAGTGGGTCAGACACATGAGTGAGAAAGTTGCATGTCACCCCAGACCTTCTAAGCAGCATCTGTTCAGAGTCACAGCAGACATTAGTCTTAGAGTGTCGTATCTCTACCCACTTCACCCAGGGACCTGGCAGATAACAGTAGCAGTGAAAGGCAGAGTCAAGGAAAGAACCAGCGAGCGGAGAGTAAAGCCGTGCATGCCACCCTGGCTGTCTTGGGCTTTTGTAGGAGGCCACAAGGCTGATTGATTTTCTTCTTTCTTTCTTTCTTTCTTTCTTTCTTTCTTTCTTTCTTTCTTTCTTTCTTTCTTTCTTTCTTTCTTTCTTTCTTTCTTTCTTCCTTCCTTCCTTC